AATCAGCCCAAATCAAGTCGGCGCCGTCATCCACGCGCGGCTGATGCACGGAAGGATGCTGCCGGACTCTCGATACGGAAGAGGAAGCTGCAGCAATGACTGAGCACAAGTTGCTCTGCACATTGTGTGGTCGTCCAGCTGTACAGCCCACAGCGATACAGTCGCACTCGCAGTCTGAAACCGAAGTGAGAGCACCATGGTCGCGGTCGCCTCTGATACCTTCGACTCAGTACTTATCGGTTCGACGCGTATGTACGGACTGCCACTTGCCGCTGATCGTTGCACGGCGTCGTAGAATTGGCCACAGGGTCACACCCCCTTCGCATGAGACGAGGTCGAGTTGGCAGCCGACTCAAATCATACCATGACGTCATGATTTGGCCATGATATGTGATAGTTCCTGCAATCGGACTCAAAGCAAACTCAGGTCACGGCAACACTACCACAGTCGCTTTATACCATCATCCAAGCTTCGTCATGCGTGAGGAAGAGCGTTGCGTGCGCCTAACGATGTCCTGAAGATCGTGAAACACACGATCAGAGTAGGAGCGAGATGTATTGACGCCAGCGATCTCAAGGCGTTTATCGGAGCAGGATGTATGGCAGATCGCACCGGCACACCATGTGCTACTCCAACACCAGATTGACAAATCGCAATGCAATGGAGTCCGGCACCGTAGAAACTATGTAGCCTCTCCACCAGCCGCGGCCTTCGCCGCAGCGTCTGCCTCAAGCTTCCTACGCTTCCGCTCGCGATATCGCTCTGCCGCACTTTGGATAGCGTTGTCGTCGTTCCGACGCTCGACGGTGCGTGCTGTGCGTTCTTTCTCCAGCCGCTCCCTCTCTGCCCGCACACGCTCCTTCTCCTGCTCGATCTGTTCCTCAACCTCGCGTCGCCGCCGTGCATCAACTTCCTTTCGCGAAGCTGATGTCCCTACGCCCGTGTAGACCGCCGCGGAAGGCGCATCCTTCCCATCCTTCGACATTGCTGTGCGTAAGCCAAGTTTACGAGTATTGGGCGCAGCAAGATTCAGGCCAGCCGACAGCAGCTGGCGCTTGTCCACGATCTGATTGTCGTCATTCAGCTCAACAGCTTTGCCCTGCTCTTGTGCGAGACGTGCAAGCTCTGCGTCGGACTTTTCCGACATATCGGGCGGTCGTGTGATGGTCAAGTTCGGAGGAATATGAGGGCCTTTGATGGCGCCTGGTGCGGACGTCTGGACGGGTGCTGGCGTGGGTTCCGCGGAAGCGGCCACGACGGCGTGAGCCTGCTCGGTCTCTTCCAGCATTTTACTATAGAAGTACGCCATGCCGGAGACACCTGGTCTCTTCTTCTTTTCCGCTTCTGCACGTAACGTCAGGTGAGACGTTCGAAGACATAAGACAAACTACAAACCTTCACGCTTCTTCTCTTCCTCTTCAGCTCGCCGTACTTCGGCTTGTTGATCTTTGTACGCTTGCGTGACGAAAGCCTCCTTATCCGCAAACTCGTCCCCTTCCTTCTCGCGCTCGCGTTGGATCATCTTCTCTTCTGCACGTAGCCTGTCAAGACGGCGCGTCTCGGCAGCGGCTAGAAAGTTCCCTATATGTTTAGGCTACTCCCAGTCAAGATGAGTGTAAGATACAGATGTAGCGCGAACCCGTACCTTCCTATCCGCGTTCTCTTGTTGCTTCAAAGCCTTTTGCTTCTCCTTCGCAATCTGAATATTATCCCACACCTCGTCGTACTGGAATACGGTCGAGTCGACCTGCTGCTCAGCCTCCATACGCTTCTTGGCTACCTTGGATAAGCCGGAACTCTGGGCAATGAGCGTAGCATTTCCGGGAGCCGCCTTCTTCGCGTCTAAGGCAGGGGTGTCGGGTTCATCGTCGTCAAGCGCAGCGAATGCGGCAGGTCGTTTGAGTGAAGGTGCCGCGCCTACGGGTTTATTGTCGGCCGCCCTCTCTTTTCCCTTGAGCGAGAAAGAGAGCTTCATCTACGAATCAACAATTCCTGTCTTTGTGTAGAAAGATGGGACGAAAGTGACGAACCGTAGATGCGAGATGGTGGTGGTTGGGAGTAGACGGACGTTGACGCTGATCCGGACCGCGCAGGCTTGCTCTCAACTTCCACGACCGCGCCACAACGTTGCCGCTTGGTCCCCATCTTGTCCCGCACTCTAGCACGCGTGGCATTCTCCTTGAACGATGGCAGAGAATGATCTTACCGCATTGGATCTTACACATGTGCTGTGTGAGCTGCATACAGCTGCTCTACGTTCTCGCTTGTTCTCATGTCTGCAGACGACGCTTCCTCGCATGTCTCGTTATTCATGGCATTAATCACATTGTCGCCTATCCTACTGATGGTGGGTGCAATCTAAACCCCTTCAGATGGGCTGTCCCTAATCTGTGCCCGCAGGCTTCGTACGCAGTGCTCGCTGTATTTACGCGCGAGTTAACGATCATCAACATGTGGGCAGGGCAGCTGCTGTGTGAGGCCTTCAACTGGGCCATCAAGCGCGCAATCAAGCAGGAACGTCCCTCTGGTATGCATTGCATACTACGCAAGATGGACATTCTCTTATAACATTCGACCATAGGCAGTGTGGGGACTGGCTACGGCTTCCCTTCATCTCACAGCCAGTACATGGCGTACTTCGCCACCTTCCTGGTGCTACACCTTCATTTCCGGCATCGCTTCGTCTCGACTGGCAGTTGGATCATCGACCAGTCATTTCGATTACTGCTGCACGCGGCATTCATAGGCTGGGCTGGAACAGTCGCGTATTCAAGGCAAGTGGCGATGCCGCATTTCATCTTCATTCATACTGATGCCCGATTATGTAGGCACTATCTGCAGTACCATTCGACTGCGCAGGTTCTGTGGGGTGTCTCAATCGGCGTCGCTTTCGCATCGGTATTCTACGCCGTGACGGAGCTTGTACCCATCAAGCGACCACAGTCCCTCCTGGGTCGCCTACGGACGCTCGCGCTTGCGAACCCGGTGTCGTCCTGGTTACGACTTCGTGACGGCTGGGCAGTCTGGTCCGATAGTGGGATCGAAGAACACTGGCTGGTCTGGCGGCGAGAATGGGAACGGAAGACAGAAAAGAAAAGTAGTTAACTTGTAGTGATTAGTACTCGTGATCTGTCCATCGCATCCAACGCGTTGACATATCGCACACCTCATCGATCATCCCTCAGTAGGTCTTGAGCTTCATCGTACAGCCTCAGAAGTCGACGGGCAAGTTCGCCGCGTCGAATGAGAACTCTGATCTTCAAGCGATGTTCAACATCGTTCAACCTCGTTCCACCATCATGTACGCTGTAAGAGAACCGCATGCGCTCGACATGTCGGCGAGCCGGCATAGGTCCGGCTCATGCAAACACAAGGGACTCCAGCGATCGTCTCATTATCGGTCTCTTACGATTCCCGACGTTAACCCCAACGACCACGACCTTACGGGTGTCAACTGTCCACTTTAGGCATGCGCCTTGCTTCTCCTATCCTACGGCTAGCTCGAACAATGGCAACTTCCGAGGCTCTACCAAAATCCGATATCCCCATATTCACCACAGTTAGCGCGTACCGCGCATGGCGGGAAACGGCGTTCTACGAGCGCAAGAGCGTCGGGTTCGTGCCGACGATGGGCGCCCTGCATGAGGGCCATCTTTCTCTCGGTGAGCTGGCTCTGGCTTTTAGCACATTAAAAACTCATGTCCGTGCATAGTGAGGCACTCGCTTGCGGCAAATGACCATACAGTTGTTTCGATCTTTGTCAATCCGGCACAATTTGCACCGCACGAGGATCTAGCGACATACCCGCGCACGCTGTCCGAGGACCTCGCAGCGTTGACCGCCCTCGCCGGGCCGGCAGGCCGGATTCCATCTGCTGTATTTCTCCCACCCGTCCGCGAAATGTACCCATCAGGCATCACCCAGGACGTATCGGCACAGCGGGGAACGTTCGTGGAAGTCAAGGGTCTAAGTGAACCCGGCGAGGGTCGTACACGGCCAACATTCTTCCGCGGGGTCGCAACTGTGGTCACCAAACTGTTCAACATCGTACAGGTAAGGGAATATCTCTCCGCGTTCCACAACGTTCTTAGTTCGGATCTCAACGCATCTGCTTCTAGCCCACGAATGCGTATTTCGGTCAGAAAGACATCCAACAGGCTATGCTTCTCCGGCGTCTGGTTGGAGATCTGCTTCTGGCAAATCCCACTCCCGAGCGCCTACATATCATACGGACGACTCGGGATCCTACGTCTGGACTTGCGTTATCCTCGCGCAACGCATATCTCAGTGCTGCGGAACTTGAGCGTGCACCCGCTTTGTACGCTGCGCTCCGCGCGGCCCAGGATGCCTGGGCGTCGGGCGCGAACAAGCACAAGTGTTTGAAGCGCGCAGAGGCAGTGCTGGAGGAGGCGCGCCTGTCGGCAGAGAAAGACGCCGTCACAGTCAAGCCGGATTACATCGAGTTCTTCGATCCGTCGTCTTTCCAGGCTTTAGATGAGGCGGCCGACTGTAGTAGTCGAGGGGGACTACCTACTGTGTTGACGGGTGCGATGTGGGTGGGCAAGACCAGGCTCATTGACAATCTTGTACTGGACGACGATGGTACGATCGTCAGAAGATGAATTATTTTCCTTTGTCTTCCACTTTGGGGCGCCTAGATGGAGCACAACCCAAATGGGGCTTACGGAGAAGACTAGCCCCTGACAGATGCGAGCAGGACACGCGCCTACAGTTACATTAGGTATGCTGACACAGCCTGCACCGCTTTTTCACTCGGACAAATGTCGTCTCTGTCGTCCGCGCCATCCGATTCAGCCCGTGTGCTTGACGGCGGCCTTGTGCTTCTACGCTTGCGCTCACCCACCGCACCAACATGCGACATGACAGAATGCGGCGTTTTACTATCTTCTTCTGTCCGAGCTCTTGATGCTCTGCTGCCCATCGATGCGTCCAGATCACAGCGCATCTCTCGTTCTCGAGCAGTAGTCAGCCCAGGGACTGAGTTTGCACACTCCACTCAATCACTGATTTGACCAACAGGGCCTCCCTTTCCGAAGAGGCCAACACATCTACACCTTTCTGGTGTCATCGGCACGCGGCTCAATGCTTCCGCCTTTCAGCCCCAGAGCGATGCACCCGGTATATATAACGGGCTGCTATCTCTCCAGATCAACTCCGCTCCCTGTCTTCCTGCCTGCGGTTTGTGGCCCATCAACATCATGCCAGCTCGTCCAAGGCCCATGTCTGTGGCGGTATACCGCCCAGAAGACCTGGCATCACTCAAGAAGACGTCACGCCGAGTATCTTTAGGACACAACGCGATAGCAACGTCCTCCAAGCTAGGCAAGTGTGTTATAGCCTCCGCAGGCGCCCAAAGACCGCTCATAAGTTTCACAGCGGACACGGCCACTCCGACACGAGTATTGTCCACAATCCGCCCCCAAACTCCGAAACCACCAGATCCCAGACCGCTCTCGCGCGATGCAGCATCTGATGCAGATGTATTACTGCAAGCCGACGATGGCACGTTATTGTACGGACATCAATGGCTCCTTGCGCGTGCTTCACCTGTACTCGCCAGGATGCTGTCAGGCCTTACTACTCGACCGACCAGCGCATCGACCGTGAGCACTCAGCTATCAGGGCCACCGATCCTTGTCATGGCGGAGAGTGCTCGCGCTCTACGGTTGCTGCTTGGGACGATCTACCCGACGTGCCTTCTTTCCGAGCCACCCTGTCTGCCGCTATCTCGTGACGAGACGTACTTGTTGGCGCAACTGGCACGCAAATACTCCGCCGAGCATCTCACCGAGGCCTCTAGGCGTGGGCTGCTCGCTTACGTCCCCAAAGACCCAACCTGGGCATTCGCCGCGGCGTGGGTCTTTGAATTCGCGGACGTCGCCCGCGCCGCGGCAATGGAAAGCCTACGACACGACTTTCTACCAAGTTCAGACATCAACATCCTGCGACAAGTTCCAGCAGCCACATTGGCCTCGTTACACGACTTTCGCCGGCGATGTGCACATACGTCTGCAAGTGCCCTGGCCAGAGTCGTGGACCTCGAGCGCGAGGCACAGACAGGGCGATGCCGGATGATCACCGGAAGGAGTCTGTTGAGGTCGAGGCGGCCGGGGCCGGGCGACAACAAGACGTGTTTGATGGTATACATGGACGCCATTACGCTCCGATTGACGGATTACCCACATCCGTGCACAGTCGTGGAGAGCCATGATCTACTGCTTCGAACATGTTTGGACCCTGCAAGTGCGCCATGCGCGAGCTGCTCGAAGAGAGCTCAGAAGCTGTTGAGGACGAAGTTGCAGGAGCTGAGCACCAGGCTCGAGATGGAGCTGGCCACAGTGCGTCTATCCCTTTTCATCGGTATACAGATGCTAATGCTTCACATAGGTGCCTCTGCAACTGCCTTTCTGATGACGTATCCTGTTTATGTATGTTTGCCTTCCCTCTTCTTGATGACCGCTTCGCTATTCTGCTAGACGCCTCTAACGCTATTCACGATACCACTCTTGACATCATTCTCCACTCTATGCTTCTGCAGTCTTTCTTGGATCCTACTGCTTTTGTTTGTGTTGCTGTCATATTCTAACATATAGGGTTAAATTATTACACTATTTATTCTCGAATTCCTGATCTATGTGTCGACCTCGAGGTGGACCTGAATGCTTCCATCAACTCATGCAACCAGAGCACAGAGTGTGCGCACTCTTACCTCGGCAATGCGCTCTTCGATCTTATGTTGGAGTTTCTCTGCGAATGCAGTGAAAGTGGTCTCCACGGTGTTCCCACATTCGTTACACGCAAACGCCTCCTTCAACGCGGGGATAATCATGGCAGGCTTCCTCGCAACCTCTCCTCGGACATCCTTCGTGAGAGCTTCCGCGACCGCGGCCATGTACTTCCGCACCCACTCTGGTACGAGGTAGTATGGTGGAGCATGAGCGCCCTTCCGTCCTTCAGTCTGTTCATGCGCCGCAGGGCAGCCACATTCCAATGAAGATCGGTTTGGGTCGGCAGCCACAGCGCCCGGAATGTCGTCTCCGGCGATCCATGCGAAACTATTCGCCACACCTCGTGCAGCAGCGCGACAGTCGTCTTGGTACAAGACCAGAGCATGATACTGAAGAGCTGTCATGGCCCCTAGATTACTGCGGGGCACAGGTGCGAGTTGTCGCGGCGCACGCAGTGTTGCCCGTGCGGCGATGCGCGCAATATCGGCGAGACGGGCTGCGCAGGCGAGGACATATGTCTGCTCAGGCTCTGCGGTAGCCAGCGCCTCCAGGGCGCTGCAGATGCTCGCGGGCACGAAACGAGCGCCGTAGCGGTCGAGTGAGCCCAGTAATGAGCGTACTGCGGATAGGTCGGTAAGGGTTGGGGCAGGGCCGGGGTACAGCGCGCTGAGCAGTATCGCCACAGTGTCCGCAGTGTCGGGCAGGCGTAGGATGGGGATGCCGTCCTCGGAGAGCTCTTGCTCGCCGGAACGCGTGAAGAGTGAGGATAGGTCGAATGCTGATAGTGAACGAGCCAAGATGACTCGGTGTACGCGAAACTCGACGTCTTCGGCACTGCGGAGAACAAGATCTGCGTCAGAGTCGTCCCAAGGTGCACCGGCACGTTTGGCATGTCCGCGATACGCAGCAGTATACTTGTTTCCGAACTGTGGCGAGCCATTCCATGAGGGTTGCAGACTCGATACAAGCGTATGGCTAGGGCTCGGAATGGAGAGCGGAGAAAGCGGTGCGCTGAAGACCGACATCTGTTGAGCTTCGCGTTGAGGCTACTATGCTGTGAATGGGGCGACGGTGAGCGAGGGGTGCCACAGACGGCGACGCCACAGCGGGCGAGGTTCTTGTATTCGGCAGGCGCCCGCGGAATGATCCAGAGTCGGGCCAAGCGCTTACGCACAAGACCATCTTCAATCGATATACATACACTGGTTCGAAGAAGCTCTCGTGAAGCGGCGAGGTGCAATGATAGGGGTCACCGCCTCGGGGCCTGGATGAGGAGGAAGTTCTCGGTAGAGTCATGCCATATATGTAGCTAATATACATTTGTCCACAGCAAGGCGATATCATGCTGTGGCGACGCCTGCCCACGTCCTTTTGTCTGCAAACTCTTCAACCTGCGCCCGCACTAAGTCCGATCCAGGGAGGCCGTCTGCTTGTATGCGCTCGCTGAAGCTCTTCACCCCTTTCAACACGAGGCGAGGTAGCTTATGGCCCGCATCCGCCCGAGCCGAGAGTACGCTGGCGAGATCAGACCAACGCTTCGCCGACGTCGCCACGCGGCCTTTGCCCACGGGGTCCGTATCTTCATCAATTGTGGCGAAGACGATCGTTTTCAGAGACTGTGCGACCACTGAACCAGAGTTATCCCGCCGTCCTAGCGCGTTGAGGAACGGGTTTTGATGGGCTTCTTGACCAACCGAGATAGTGTACAGACCGGCGAATGCCTGTAGCACTGGTTGCAAGTTCCCAATGTCGAAGAGATCCATGTCAAGGAAGTCTTCCGGAGGAGGACACGGGGAGACGTGGAATAGTTTGATGTTCGCGGGTACCATCTCGCGCGCCAAACGGGAAAGGAAGGTAGGGATGGTGCCAAACTCCATGATGATATCTCGAAAGAGAAGCCGCATCGTCACGCGATTTGTCGGCGGACTTGCTGTCGGATCTGAGGCAGAGGAGCACAAGCCGAGCGCGACTACGAAAGTACGGTACGGGCCGTCGTAGGTGAGGCTGAATGCGTCGATGGCCGCGTCGCTCGTGTGAGGGCGGATGGCACTAAATACTTGCCCGAGCGAGTCTGTCACCGGTCCTACGAGGATGGTCTGCCGGAAGGCGTGTAACCTCAACTCGGCGTTCGGTGGCGCAACTATATGACGCCAGATTGAAAGGGCCTCGGGCGAGTCGCATAAACGTGCGATTGCGAGATTAGGAAGATGGACCGATGGAGTATACTCAGGAGCCGGCTCGTCGTCCAACGAAAACATCAATTCCAATTTCTCGAGCTGGGGTGTCGCGGATAGGGCAGCAAGTAGGGTCGACGCAGGTACGGGCTGCGTAGCGCCTTGGATGAGGAGTGTGCGCAATGCTGGCGCGGAGAAAGGTAGGTATGCGGTCTGGTCAAGGACCAGTCGCAACAACGACGGTGCGATGAGCGGGCGGATCGGCGATGCAACATCTTCGGGAATCCGTTTCGCACCCTTCAGCGTCAAGTCCTCAAGCACCGGCAGCTCTTGGTCCAGTAGCAACCCATACCAGTCCCTGAAGGACCGGAACGGGTTCGACGCAACGAGAGAACGTATACGGACTACGTTCTTCGTCAAGAGCATGTAGTACCGGTCGTGCAGCGCAACCTGATCCAATACAGGTAGCCGTCTGAGTGCGCCGAAGTCGAGTGCAAGAGGAGCGCCGCGCGCGCGGGCAAGAATCGTCTCCAACGCGCTAGGAAAGATGTGGACTATCTCCCCCCATAAAGGCGCAAGGTCGATCCCCGCTCGCCTCCAGCTGCGGCACACATGCGTCAGAACGATGAATCCCAACGTTCCTTGTTCAGAGAACATGTTGCGGCGCTTGATGGCTTCTAACTCTGCGTGCCAGTAGGGCCCACGTATACCCGTCCACAGTGGGTAAAGATCCAAGTTCAAGTCGGATTGCGATGAGCGGACAGGCATGCGTCCAGGAAGATCCGGAGGGCCGGCATAGCGGGGAGGATCAACTGCAGCCATGGTGTTGAAGATCTCATAGAGAACGTCCTCTGGGAGTGACTGAGCCGGCGAGCTCGACATGAGACCGATAGTCCACGTGGACGACTGGACGGACGTTGAGCGAACTGGGTGTCACGATTCACACAAGAGCTTACGTTCTCAATTGCGATACCAGTCTCCGTCACAGAACTCATGCGTCGGGAATGTCGTGCAGATGGCTCACGAAGGTGAAGATTCACGACGAGCGCTTCTCTGGCTTTATAGGTATGTAAGGCCTGTATCGGTCATCGTGATCTGCTGATTCAACGCAACCACACGCAGTCATGCAACCATTGTGATGTAGTACGGTATCCTTATCTAAGCGAAGATGGATTACGTCAGATATGTCACAGTAAGAGACAGAGTACTCATACTCACCGTCTGTCGTTCACGCCTTGACGAACTTTGTGTGGGAAGCGGCTACTACAGTCCTCCCTCTGACCCCGTTCTCGACCCTGTAGATGGTGATCCTCGTGTACGCCATGCTCCCACCAACGCGGTCCGCGATCCCCTCGATCTCAACCTCGTCTCCAAGGCCCGCAGAACTTTGATAAGTGCAGTGGATGTCGACGCTGGCGCCAGTGTTGGTGCGGAGATCCCAACTCGCGATGGCCATTCCACCCATCCAGTCCACTATCGTCGCCGATACGGCACCGTGCAAGCCGTTTTTGGAGTTCAGGTGGTGTTGTTCGAGCTTCAATCGGGCAACGACCTGCCCTCTGGAAGCGTGTAGAATTTGGACGGTTGTGAGAAGAAAGGCGTAGATCGGGCTCGTCGGCAGTTTCGTAGCGATGAGGTGTTCTACGTGCGCTTGCTCGGCAGACTTGGTAGACTCGGACATGTTCGTCACTAGCTCGTCGCGGTGCGAAGGCAGGATGACAACGAATATCGCTATGAACTGGCGACGCGGTCACCTGATAGGTACCCTAATATTATCTCGGCGAGCGACGCGCTGATTCGCTCCGATGCTCCCATCATCACCAATCGACTGTGCCTCAGCGACGTCCTGTGCAACCCGTCGGGCGCAGAAAGTCCTGGACAGAAAGAAAGATGGCACGTCGCGACGTCTCCATCGCCTCGCTGTTCTCGTCAGTTGAATCGCTGTTGCTACGTGCTCCCGGCCGCGGGTTGCAGTAACGGTTACCAGACCCTACGCCCGGCGCTACTTGAGAACGTACGACTACAAAAGCAGCCCTTTGGCGCGGTATCTCCGCCCTCGAACGAACGAGGACCGCTCTCCTGGTCGCGCTTGTGACTGATAGCCTGAGCTCCTGAACGTGGACCGCAGCTGCTCCATGTCTGTGATGATCATGCCGTCCTTGCCAGCTTCTCTTACTGTTTCCGTCTCCCCACCATCTCTAATCACGACCGTAACGAGCGAGATGAGCACGCTGGACGTACAGGCTCAGGAGAAGCGCCGCGCGCCCGAGGCGCCATTCGACGATGAGGACGCGGATATCGTCGTGCGTTCGGAGGACGGGGTGGACTTCAGGCTGTACAAGGTCGTGCTCTGCAAGTCCAGCCACGCATTCCGGGATATGTTCGCTGCTGGCAGCGCACCGGTCAACCCCGACGAAATGGACGAGGGAGGACGACCTGTCGTACGCTTGCCGGAATCGGCACGCACTCTGCGCCTTCTATTCCGTCTCATGTATCCCGTGGCGAATGGGGATCTATCCGATCCGAACGACATCCGCGCGCTGCTCACAGTGCTTGACAAGTACTGCGTAGAAGCATTCTCGTCCACGGCCGAGGAGCTACTACTCTCGCACGCGGAACGCTCTCCCGAGTTCGCGTATGCGCTTGCGGTCCGCTTCCGGCTCCCGACAGTGGCAAAGCGAGCGGCGCAACTTACGCTGCGCAAGCCTTCGGGTCTGGTCGTGCTGAGCGAGGAAGATGCATCATTCATTCCGGGCCTGCTGTACCACCGGCTGGTGACCTTCCAAAATAATGCCATATCCGTCGCGGCGAATACGGTGAAAACCTTCACCTGGCCGAGCGTGGACCGGCCTGCGCCACCGCCTGCGCTGCCGAGTGATCTTTGCGGATGCAGGCGTCTCGGCTTTGTCGGTGGCGCGGGGAAAGTCGAGAGCACCATGCCCTTCTGGTTGATGGACTACCGGACAAAGTGCATCGCCGCGTTGCAGAAGGCGCCGGTCGGCTCCGTCGTGCTGGAACCTGAACTACTGTTTCAGACTTTGGGCATGTATGCGCAGCCGAGCGTTTGCAGCGAGTGCGCGAGGAGGATATCGGGGCCGTTACACACGTTTTGCAGGACGTTGGCCGCCGAGATTGATCGTCGGGTTGGCGAGGTGCGTGTTGCTCCGACTCGAGGCGGGTGTGCGGTTTTTGACGTTGGATTGCGCGCAGATCACCCTGGAGCTCGACTGAATGTATACCCCCTTCTCTCGTAAGGATATCTGAGGTTTGTGCTTAATTCTCAGTAGACTGTGAACCTGCGATGTTCTGATACGCTTCCCCTAGATATGCCTCTAGAAGTGGCACGGTGCGGGTTTCGCGGGTACCTTGTTCTTGAGCGGTGGCGTTGGGCTTTCATGTCTCTACGATTCTGCATCTCCTGTGGCTGCTAGACCTTGTGCTTTGTCTGTGTACATGTCTCACGTTATGTACAATACTTCCGGCGATCTCTTTCGATCTTGCTTGATCTTATCTTATCGCGAATCCTGCCGACTCCCGAGCAGTCACGCCAAATCTATAGATCGACTTGACCATCTTCGGTCAAACCGGCGCTTATACGGCAACCTTACCGCCAGCCTTCCACATGTTGATATTCAGGTACACCTGGAAAGCTGCGAAAAAGGTGTAGGTTGAACCCAGCTGTATGACGAGCGCGGGAGGGTGTGAAGCGACTCTCCATTCCGACGTCCGAGGACTGTCTCGTATGCTACACTTTGTGAACTGCGACTTGAGTAGTATCTAGCGTCATGGACTGTATAGACGTGACACTCGAACGGTTTTGCGTGGCAACGGCGTGCCCCCAAGGGTTTGTTCGAGCGGGAGCCGTTCGATCGCGTGCGGAGCCAATCAGGCGTGGTCGTACCATTGCTCCGAGCTTGCGGACGAAATTCTGCTGGTGCTCGTGCCATATAAGAGTCTAGAAGAAGTTGATTTTGAAGACCTTACGCGACGTGCCCTGCCCTACACCGACCCTACACCTTCCCTTCAGACCACCATCCACTATGACCATCAGCACTGGTAACGGACACGCCGCACAGGCTCCCACATCTGCGCTCGTCGAGCAGGCTACGCCCGAGCGCCCGAAAGATGTCGGCATCCTTGGCATTGAGATGTACTTCCCGCAGCGCGTATGTCGTGTGCTACTTTCTGCACACGGTCCCGGTTATTGACATTCGCGCAGTGTATCTCTGAGGAGGCGCTCGAGGAGTTCGACGGTGTGTCGAAGGGCAAGTACACCATCGGTCTCGGCCAGGAGTTCATGGCATGCTGCGACGACCGCGAGGACATCAACTCCTTCGCTTTGACCGGTAAGCCGACTTCCTAATCGTACTGCTCGGTTGTCGGGTGCTAATCCGCGTTAAAGCCGTGCAGAACTTGCTTGAGAAGTACAACATCGACCCGCGCTCGATCGGTCGCCTCGACGTCGGCACCGAGACGATCATCGACAAGTCCAAGTCGGTCAAGACCGTGCTCATGGACCTCTTCCAGTCTTCCGGCAACACCGACATTGAAGGTATCGACTCGAAGAACGCATGCTACGGGTCGACTGCTGCGCTCTTCAACGCCATCAACTGGATCGAGTCTTCGTCCTGGGATGGCCGCAACGCCATCGTCTTCGCCGGTGACATTGCCATCTACGCAGAGGGATCTGCGCGCCCGGCTGGTGGCGCTGGCGCTTGTGCCATGCTTATTGGCCCGAACGCGCCCTTGGTCTTCGAGCGTAAGTCGCGTGCCTCTTTTGTCTAGCGGTTCTCTTCCGCGCCGATCTTCCTCTCACGCTTTACTCTGTTCTTCTATTCGGTGCCACATCGCTACTTCGGACATGGTTCGCTGACATCTTCCCTACAGCGACGCACGGAAACTACATGGCGAACGTGTACGACTTCTACAAGCCCAAGCTCGACTCGGAGTACCCTGAGGTTGACGGCCCGCTCTCTGTCACTTCGTACATCACCGCCCTCGACAACTCGTACAAAACTTATCGCGAGAAGATTGGCAAGAAGGTGTACCCCAAGAACTCGCCGGCACCGGAAGGCGTCGACCCCAAGTCCTCCTTCTCGCTCGCCGACGTCGACTACAACGTCTTCCACAGCCCGTACGGTAAGCAGGTGCAGAAAGCACATGCCCGCCTGGTACGTCCATGATGCTCTCAATATCTCTCTCGCCTGTACTGAACGTTCCTTGTAGCTCTGGAACGACTTCATCTCTTCCCCCCAAAACCCCACCTTCGCCAACGTTGAGAATGCTGCCGACGTTCTCGCACAGCCTTACCAGAAGTCCTTGACCGACAAGGCACTCGAGAAGGCCTTCATCACCTTCGCCAAGCCTGAATACGGCAAGAAGGTTGCGCCGACGATGGCCACGGCGAAGCGTTGCGGCAACATGTACACCGCATCACTATACGGCGGTCTCTCTTCGCTCATCGCCGCCGTTGAGCCCAAAGAGCTCCTCGGCAAGCGCCTGAGCATGTTCGCCTACGGCTCCGGCATGGCCGCTTCCTTCTTCGTTATCCGTGTCAAGGGCGACACGTCTGAGCTCCGTGAAAAGCTCGACTTGAAGAACCGCCTTGCGGCCATCAAGGTCGTGCCATGCCAGGAGTACGTTGACGCGCTCAAGATCCGCGAGGAGAACCATAATGCTGTCAACTACACGCCCTCGGGTAACGTCGAGAACATCTGGCCCGGCGGTTACTACCTCGAGCACATTGACTCGAAGTACCGCAGGAAGTACATCCGCAAGCCGGTATCCGCGTAGAGTAGAAGATAGATGCGCTTGTGTTGCTTGCTGTATAGAAGGTCTCCGAGGAATATCTGTACGAGTATGCTTTGTCTAATCATATACCACCCATTGCTACGGCTTTGCCGAGAAGCGCTAGTGCCCTTGCCGAATGAGCTAAATAGTGGAGCAAGTCGCTTGACGTGGCGCGAAAGTCGAATGAACTTCAATGAACTGATCGACTAACGGTTCACCTGCACCCACGACGTATCTTGTCTCTTCCCGTCGCCACGGTCAACAACGTCAAATGGCGGATCCCAACATGGGAGAGCCTGCCCCGCAAGCACCCAGTATGGCTCAAGCACCTTTCTCAGACGTGGACGCCGACATCGTCCTCCGCTCCAGCGATAATATTGATTTCCGCTTGCACAAGACTATCCTCACCCGCGCTTTCCATGGGTTCGACGACTTGCTCTCTGGGCTGGCAACAGCAGCCGCTTACCAAACTGGTACCTCAGACGCAATGGACTCATCCGACGAACATGGACGACCTATCCTGGTCCTGACCGAGCGCGCGGATGTGCTCGACGCTCTATTCCGGCTTTTCTACTACGTGGACAGCCCGACGTTGTCCGACTTCAAAGTACTTCGTGCTGTCTGTCTATGTCTCGACAGATACTGCGTCAAGACTGTTCCATACATCATCCACGAGCTTCTCATCAAAGCCCTAAACGTACCCGCGCATCAACGAGGCACAACCCCCGGAACCGTCTACGCACTGGCGTGCAGGCTTCAATTGGACGATATAGCTCTGCTTGCCGCGCGCGCATCGCTCCCAAATTCCGAAATACTCCGAGAACTACAGATAGACGACGTTCAGCTCATATCCTCTGCCCAATATCACGCCCTCAACGTGTATTTCAACGATTGCCGCGAAGCTGCCGCACGGGTAGTCGCCGATCCGCTCGTTTTGATCCCTGCAGTCGAACTTCCTTGCAGCTCAAGTCATTCTACGGACAAACTGCTAGAATATCTACAAAATCCCGGGGCCTTCGGCCAATTCCACCCCATACGCTCCGGAGAGTGCGAATGTGGAATGACCGAGACCCTGGCGGGTACCCGGAAAGACCTCGCAGGACAGCTCCCTGCCGAGCCTGTCGTCATACCCGAGTGGCTATGCGACTATCTCGAGGCTTGCAATGACGAATTATACCGGAAACCGGACGCCGAAAACGTGACGAGGCCAAAGTTCTACGTCAAGTACCTACGGGAGGCCATGGCATGTCCGTTTTGCGCACGCAGCATCGACAGCTTCCTGTCGTTTCTTCCGCGGTTGAAAGAGATCATTGACGAAGAAGTAGGGAAGGTACGATTGATGAAACAACTCGTAAGCTCATGAACGTTGAACGCTCATGATGTGGACTCGATCTAGGTTCAACTGATCGCTACCTCATGAGGGCGCAGAGTATCTATAGGTGTCCGAGCCGCGCAAGTCGACATATTTGGCTTGTAATCATCTCATGCGAAACACAAGCTATATCGCGACTATTAAGGTCGTGCCGTACTAGGAGTACATCGAGGCGCTCACTCAAAGCTGTCAACTATGCGCCCTCGGATAACGTCGAGAACGTCTGGCCGTGCGGTTAATACCTTGAGCACATTGACTCGAAGTATTGCATGGAGTGTATCCGCATGCCGGTGTCTGCTTAGAGTAGAAGATAGACGTGCTTGTGTTACTTGCTACTATATAGAAGGTCTCGGAGGAATATCTACACGATTATGCTTTGGCTGATCACACCCAGTGAGAATCCCGGATCCGCGGAACTACGGCAGACTACGTCCTTCGATGGTGGTCGACGTGGAACAAGAGTTGCCACCAATCTACGTGGAACTATGATAGCGATCATATTCTAGATGCTCCGTAGTTCGGGCGTCGATCTCAGTATCACTGAACACCCATTTCAGCCCACATGTATCGATTGCGAACTATTCTGGTCTCGTTTCAATCTACTGAGAGCTCCTGCAAACTAGCCCCGAGCTCATGCGGAGATATGGAGATCTACGTGCGAGCTGGCGGCTCCTAGTGCCATCTACGTGTCTCGATGCTTCACTCGACGGTGCATAGTAGCATCTACACATGATATTCTAGGATCTATGGTGGTAGACGAGGAACTAGGCATAGCTACGTAGATACTCGAGACATCCCGACATCGGTAGCGGCCTGCCCAAACCGTACTACACCCATCCAATAGCCCATCTAATGCATCTGCTGAAATGCATGAGCTTGCCATCGCCGTCCGACATGAAACAGATAGTATCACCATACGCCGTTCCCGACTTCATTGAACTACGCAGCAGCAGTTGTCGAAGTCGCTCCGCGCGATCCCTTGCCGCGAGTCTTTGGGGCGCTAGAAGTGGACTCGTTCTTCTTCTGCGGAAGTATCAGACCGATGCCGCGCTGTCAGCTGCATGGAAGGACGTACTTTCTCCTTGGATAACTTGGTCCAGTGCTGTAAAAGTTAATCAGGAACAGTACGAACAAGTAGTTGAGTATGGAGCGAAACACAAACATCCTGATCACTAGCCCGCCAGTGGGCATCAAATTCAGCACATGTGCCGCGGCGGTCCTTGTTGGTCTTGTACCAATCAAGCCCGCATAAGTTCCTACATCTTTTTCAGCCGACTGCTCGTGTGTTAGGCAGGAGGGAGGCTTACCGCGGTGTGAGAGAAGTTTCTGACGGCACATACGGCTTCGAGGCCTTGCTGCCCGTCGACTTGGTTGCTGTATAACGGCGTCAGCTTGAAGGTTGGCGCGAACACGGGGCGGAAAGCTACCGGATGTGGCCGTGTTCACAGGTGGTGTGGGGATAGAAAGCGCCGCGACCGGGACATCATCCGAGTCCAGTTCGTCGTCGTCCCTAGGAAAGCTGATTGAGAAGGTAGACGGGTGAACAGGACTATGGCAATAACATACAATGGATTGGCAAGTGCAACCTGTAGTGATTTAGTAATGGGCGCCAGTGGATGTCGAAAGGGTTAGAAGCTTACCTTGGCAGGAGGCGGTGCTGGCGAGCCCTGATGCGCATTCGTGGCACCCTACCTCAGATGTGTGAGTACAGGTATAGTGTAGGCCTGTGCGTCATCGAGCTCACCTCTTCGATCAGTTCTTCCTCTTCTTCCTCTACATCCATCCCGTCATCGGGGTTGCCCGAAGTTCGCGGTGCAGTTGAGGACTCAGTTGAGGACTCACGCGCATGCTCAGGACCATCGTCAGACTGGTCCTTGCTGGTCGTGTCGGACGGTGCGTGCACAGGCGATATGGCTTTGGCAGCACTCGAAGGCTCCCCAGCCGTCGAATCCACCCCGGCCACGCTAGTAGTCGCGGTATCAATCTGCACGAGATACTGTCAATATGAGACTACAGACAGATGCTCGCGCTCGGGTCTTACCTGGTGTGGCAGCTCCACAGAAGTCTCCGCTAACGACAGCGCCGACTGCGAGGCTTTCTTCCGCGCACGCCGTTTTCGAGCCGGACCTTGTTCGGATAGGAGTAGGGCGTCATCGTCAGCTTCCTTCTTCATGATCGTTGAACGGGCGGAAGGGTTGGGCGGCAGTTCTCCGTTGTCGATGCGGGCACTAATGAAGCTCGGGTAGGCAACTTTGCACAGCTCGAGAACCTTCCATTCCCCGCCCTCGCATAATCTAAGTACAGCATCACATCATCAGCGAAAGCGCTAACAAAGACTTCATACAGGCACGACGGACTTACCGAGCCTCCAGGAACAGCCATCCTACATCCCATGCGATTGCCTGGCAGATATCAACGGGCACATTGCCCCAAGAGTACGCGCCCGTGGGGTTCTCCTTCGTGACCACGATCTTCTTTGCGTCGAGAATGCGCTTCTTGAAGTTCATCGTGATGCGGCTTCGGATCGTGGCCAAGCGGGTCGAAGATACCGGCTTGCCATCTGGACCCTGTAGATAAGGGGCGGTCGTAGAGTTGAGAAGCTCGTCCAGCCTCTCCGCCTCGAGCTTGTCAGTGTCGGTTAGGTCGATGCTTATACGAGGAGCAGCAGTCGAGGACTGTGAAGGTGCAGAGGTGGACTTGGATGCACTACGACGGTCCTTTAACTGAGCCTTGACGGGGACCCACTCTTCGTAGCACCACATGACATTCGGATACTTCATACGATCCTCCTGAGGGGGCGCGCCACGAGTACCAGATTGGTTGGGGGTAGATGGAGGAGGTGTCGCTGCCGCCTGGCTCATGGCAAGATTGCCACTCGAGAACATGGTCCTGGGTAGTGTAAGACTCGAGGCAATGACAAAAAGCGTCAGGTGTACACGTACTTGTAAGCCTCAAGTTGTCCGCGCAAGAACGCATTGTCGGTCTGGAGAGCATGCATCTGCTGAGTCTGGCCTTGCATCATGGCCACCCGGTGAGCCGAAGACAGGGGCGACGGGGACTGTAAACCCGACACGCCGAGAGGGGCTTGCGTCGAGAAATTACCAGTCTATACAACTGTGAGTTTGATATGGGCATAAAGCATGCACGAGAACCTACCATGCCTCCGTACGGGCTACCGAAGTCGTCCGTGAAGGATGGGTCGATGTTGGCACCGCCATTAAGACTGGAAAATTGATACTGGGCTTGATTCGCTATGCCTTGCGGCTTCCAGAGGGAGTATATCAGTGGCTATCAAGTCGTAGACTGCTAGAATTCACCTGGAAGCCTGGTGTGGTGTGGGGTATGTTATAGCCCTGTTCGCCCTGCATGGTCGCAAGAGGCAACACGGGGCGCGCTGGCGAAAACACTGTTGACGCACGTGATGGTCCCTCCGAGTACCCAAGTGTTGCCTCAATCCACGGTCCTACTGCACTCGTTCAGTCACGATGAGCAGTGGTCTTAACAGTGAAGTCCATACCTCTGGCTCTGAGACCGACTGCTCGGCAATATTGGCTCAGATCTTAGGCGGTCCTCCAACACAACGTTCTCCATCTCCGCGTCGCACTCGTAACAGCATTGACATACCTGCACTGAGCGGTCTCGACACCAGTACCCGTTTTGCTTTCCAGGAGATCATTCGAATGCACTGGGATACGAAGCTCCTGTATCTCGCACCAGAACTATTGAAGGAGGGCATTCCCGCTCTACGAGAACTATGTGCTGGCCTCCCAGACGCCGAGACTCGGCTGAACCTATTGCTTGAGGCACGCAGTCAGCCGGACCCGAACAAACACGACCAGCTGCTTCTCCAGTTCCTGAAGAAAAGTACCTCGGACGAGATCCGAGGTATGTAGTTTAGCGTCTGCTCTGTGAATGGTACTGACACAAGTAGCAATCACATTCGCACGGCGAATGCGACTGGCCGAACATCGCATGGAGCAAAAGGCAAGACTGCATGAATGGCAGCTGCCGACTGGTACGCAAATCGAAGGTAGTGGAGAGGTGGTACTGACATTGGAGACAGTTTTCTGTCCTAATCCCGCGTGCTACCGCCGTCTCGACGTTTTCGAGCAGGAAGCCGACTTCTGGAGGGACGAGTGCTACAACCTGCTCGGTGCCATGAAACATATCACTTCCGAGTTGCAGGGACATGTGCTGCCGGAAGTGGTGGAATCATTTGGGTCGACACGAGCCGTCGCCGAGGAGAACGCGCGGTTGGAACGACGCGTCAATGCACTGGAACAGCTGGCGGTGGAGAATGGCCTCGCCATCGGTCATATTCCCAAGTACGTTGTATGAATCGATTCGCCGGTGGTGTGCGCTCGTAGCTCATGGACGTGCAGATGAGAGTGCGCTGTCTACGTGTGAGTGTCTCTTTTCCCATCGTTGGCCTCGTGTGCTGATGGGTTCTCACAGATGTTTCTCGCAGAAGCACTATTATGTATTATGCAGTGAACAGCAGTTTCTACTATAGTACGGCTAGAGCATTGATATGTAGAAGAATTACACGGCATGCTCGCCTTGTCACATCATGCTCGGCCACACACCGAACAGCAGCGGGGTTTGGTGAAGATACTGCTATTTTATTTCACACTCAGGCTCTACGCACTCTTGTCTACATATACTACACGCGTGATGGCATTACATTCTGAGCTCGACCGTATAGATGACGAGAATATATCTGCTGAAGGCAGAAAAGACGAGCATTACATTCTGAGCTCGACCGTATAGATGACGAGAATATATCTGCTGAAGGCAGAAAAGACGACGCGCCACCGTACAGCCGCGGGTCAAGAGCTCGACGACAGTAGAACGTAGAACGATCGAGGGGTCCATTCGTCTCGCGTTCGGTCCATTCGTCTCGCGTTCTCATTCGCGATCGCGCGGTGTATTCGAGTACGGCGCGGCCTCTCGTTCCCGCACATAGGCAGGCGCATATTCGCATTCCGTAGTGGGGTACATATCCCTCTCCCTCTCGCGTTCCCTCTCGTGTCCGTCAGGGAATGGTCCAAATGGCACAGCATCCACATCCCTCGCGAAGGGCGGCCCATGCGAGACTGGCGTATGCGGCGAATAGTCTCTCGCAGAAACGAGGAGGCCCATCTCTACTGTGCGGGGACCCATCGCGCGAAAGAGGGGGCTCGTCATGGCCATGTACAGAGTCTCCCCTCTCCCTGCCCAGTATTGTTTCGACGCAATATGGGCCCGGAGTGTTCACATAAGTACTGCTCCTGTCCTGCGCATACAGCACCAAACTTGCCACCGGATCTCCACGCGGCAACGGCGCGTCGCGGACTTCACGAGCAAAGGGCGGCTCGCGATCTCTCTGTTCTCCCGCCTCGCGAACTTACTTTCGGTGCAGCATGTAAGTTTGGAGCTGCATATGACAATTCAGAGGCGACGTACTCAGGGTGGCCCAACTCGCGCGCGATCGTCAGGTTATTGGCAGTTTTGACCTCACCCACAAAGAGCGGAGGCACAGTGTTGTCGTACATGAGTGTGCAAACACAGGGGAATGCGAGAAAGACAGTATGGTGGGCTTGATAAGACGAATGTCGAGGTTGCAGAGCAAGGGTGTTGTTCGCCGTCGCGCGCGCGCGCGCGACGAGACGAACAAGTCGCGTCACACGTCACAATTGCTTGTCTTCGTTGACGACGCGACACTCGCACCTTGCGCACAACCATCGAGTGGTGCAATTCAGGGAGGCGCACATACGCGTGCGTGCGAGGCTCACAGGTATAGGTCCAGTGGGATTGATACCCACTGAGTCCTAGGAGCATGGGAGAAGTTACCAGAGGTTTCTCGAGCGGGATTTGTACCCGCCGAGTCAAGCTAGTCAAGCGTCGATGTTCCCGCTAGGGACACGGCACGACTGCGGTGCCACCAAACCTGCCCTATGTCTGGATTGCCAGGCTATATGTGCGGACACAGGCCCGGGGAGATCTCTACCCGCGGAGCCTCCTCGAGAATTCGCTCATGCGAGCTAAGAGCAAGGTGCCACCTAGAGTGGGATATTTACCGGCCACATGATAAGTACGGGTACATCTCAGAAGGGCTTCTCGCCGTCAGATATGGCTTGATGAGCTGGTGTCAATGTGAGAGCAGGCAGTGTAGGACCAAGTGGTGTCCTGCATCGAGTTCTCGTGTACGCGGTAGGAGTGCTCTTCTCCGACGCCGTTGGACTATCGTCCGGGTCTCCTGATAATGGGGCTTGTATATTCCCCTAGAGATTCATAATGAGATGCAGGGGGTGATCAATACTAGACCCTGCTTACCTCCCACCTTGCGCGCTTCTTGGCGCGTGTCGGTGTACAATATGCAGAAGCAGCAGGGCTGCCATCGTGAATGGCCACAGATGAACATGTTAGCGGGACTGGGCTTCCCTCCGGTTGAATGGAGACCCGAAGCTTTCTGCCTGTTACCTCGACGAACTTGGCGTGCACAGCCGACTCGATTTGGGACCGAGAGAGCGAAGCCTGGGCATTTTCGGATGAAAAAAACACCAGCGCACTTCTCACTGTTTCGTCAAACCATTCCGCCTCACTTGGCCATACCCAGCTGTCGTAGGCTTTCACCCTCAGCTGTAGACCACGATCCATGCGCTTTGAAGATGTAGCAAAACCGATTTCGGTCGGTGTTTCGGAGGGACTGCGAGGTGTGGAAGCCTGCGCGCGCGAACTGTGAAGGCCATCTGCACCGGATGGGCTGGGATCAATATCTGTGAGAACGAGATCAATAGTGGCGCTCACACTCAACATGCACGGCTTACCTCCAACCATGATGTCGTCCCCAGTCAGCAATGTCATGCTGTCCTGAGGGGAAGGTGACGATGGGGCTGAACTTGTCGCTGACTCGGTCTTGAGCTCCTCAACTATGTGCGGCAATACGATCTCCCCGACGTCACTCGTTGAAACAAAACTTGCTTTTGATCAGAATGGCATCAAGCAGCATAGAAGACAACACACCTGGCCCATGGATCGGTGCGGACACTCTCATACTGTTTGCCTGTCCGCTGCAGCATCCCGAGTTGTAGACCTGCTATGCCATTCCGCTCTCGAAGAGACGCGTTCATACGACGCTCGCAGGATAGTTCAAGCCAGAGCTGGATGCAGTTTGTGCATGGCGAAGGAGCTGTGGTGATTTTGGTATTCCTATACGACTTGCGGAGTAATAGCGTGCTCACCAGGGTTTGGCTTTGATTGATCTTGAATATTGTTCGCTTTGGGGATGGATTCATCCATGTTTGCAGTCGTATCGCCAGTGGCTTGTGACAGCTCGATTGTAGATGGAAATAGTGGACGGGTCGACCAAGCTGCAATTGCATGAGCAAGGCACATGGTGATCTCGTTTCTCACGCTCAGGAGCTCCCCACCGAAACCTCCTTTGGTATACATCTTTCTAGTCGAGAGTCGTAGCAGGCCAAGCTCCACACCTCACATTCCTTGACACTGCTGTAGGTAGATATGTATTTGTCTCACTCAATTATAGTGGGTATATCATTATACAATCATTATATAGGTTCAGCTTCACCGAGGGCAAGTTCCTCAAGGGCATGCTTGAGAAGAAAACGATCCGTGAAGCAGGTGATGACGATGCGGCGGCCTCCGACAGGCGGAGTTGTGAAGTGTGCAAGTAGTGAGGCAAGAAAACCGAATGCTGAACGAGGTGGGATGCGGAACTTTACCCCGAGTTGAGGTATAACGAGATAGCCTTCTTCTAACCAATCTCCCAGTGCGATGATGAAAGCCATCAGACCGTCATGCATGTCAATATGCAAAAGGTCACTGCTACCATCCTTGATAGCGATCGCATGAAAGCCATCCCCAAGGTCAAGTGCGGGTCGGTCGCGATAGATTTCAGCACAGTGCCTCCGAGCGCGGTCAGTGCATCTATATTGAGTGAGAAAATGAGTGAAACCGAGGAGGAGGACCCATACATATCTCTCCACCGTGCCTGTTCGGGAAAGTATCGTCGTATTGCGCGCGCGAGTGGTGGTACGACGAAAGCCTTGATATGACTCAGGAGGTTGTCAATCTTCCTGATCGCGTACGGGTTCTGTAGTGGCGCTCTAGATTCAGACGTGATGCGAGGCTTGTTCCCTGTCGTCTCCCAAGTGCCGAAGTGATGCGCGCCACTGTCTGAAGCGCGATTCACATCGCACTTCTTCGGCATATGCTTAGGAACACCTTGGTGAGGGTCCCGGCGCACAAACGGGAGCGGGCACATCATCTCGTCGTACGCGTTGATGATCTTCTGGGCTCCGTCCGCGCGCACAATGTCCACGAATCGAGCGACGAGCGGTTCATCGCGGTTGTGCGGGTTCCAGACAACACAGCTGTCCGCAAACGAATCTACGGGGAGCTGTGCAGGATCGCACTCCCACCGAGCGGCAATGCGCTTCACATCGTCCTGCGAGAAGCCAGCCGGCCGATGGCGGTATGCATCGTCGAAGTGGTCGGCAACAACATGTTCTGTGCATCGGAGGTGAGTCTAAATGATGGTGAATAATATAGATCATATCGAGACGAACCGCGGGTGGCTTCGCGGTCAAGCCGAAGCTTTTTGGCCTTCTTGCTGTTGTCGAATCGTTCATCGCGTTCAGCGCGCTTGGCCGCCGAGCGCTTGCGCTTCCCCATAAACACAACAAGCCCGCGTGATATAGCAAAAGAACAGTACGAGAGCGAAACTGGAGGAGGGGGGATGCCACAGGGCCTAGTGGGGAAAGCGAGAATATAAGAGCCCCGACTTGCCGCCACGAGGCTCACAACCGAGATCGCGAGCCGCGTGCAGTTCGGCAAAGAGGATCTGAGACGCGCACGAGGCAACCCAGATGCGCATGCTCCGTGTTTCGACCGCTCTGGGGCCTCCGTGCTTCGGGGATGTGCAGGATTATATATAAGAGCTCGCGCTCGGCAGAGGCGAGCTCGAAAGGCACCCTCGTGGGTTCCCCTTTCGCTCATCGGATGAAAGACTCGCATGCTGCGCGCATAGCGGGTCGAGCTCACCGCACATGATCCGGGTGCACTCCTCGTTAAATAACGGAGCCGTGGGACTAGTCAGCCCGCGGCTGAGGATGCACGCCGTCGCGAGTCGACGGTCCCCGCTGGAGTGCCAAGGCCGGGCTGTTCACGGACAGGCTATCGAGCAGTGAGCTACATCCAATACAAGATAAAACAAAGACGTACCGCTCCAGCAGTACACCGATTGCTCTCGAGCGCCAAAGGCTCGAGTACAGGTTGATGCGAGCATCGCGTCCAGTTTCACTCAGGACCTTCGGGTGACACAAGACTAGAGGCTCACACTGCGTGCGCCTCAGTAGCAGTCATACCTGCAAAGTCCCAGGAGCATACCATCGTGCAGATTATAGACGAGGCACTATTTCGAGTGCGGAACATCTTGAACACTCGAGAAAAAATGCAGCGAGGATGAAGTTCGCGCGAGGTGTGCAAGGATAAACACATCCTCGCATGCTCGCGTTGACAGGTCGCAACAGTTAACAGTCTACATGATATTCAAGACAACCTGGCAAGGCGAACGTCGAAGTTCGGAGCAAGGAACAGCACGACGCACTCGCGCGGCGAGACCAACGACTTGCGTCACACGTCACACGTGTCCTTCACTTCGTTGACGCGACCGTCGCGTCTTGCTTATGCTGGATGTGTACATCAGCGGTGGGGACAAACATTGACAATGAACGGCTGAGTGCACCGACCTGAGTAGACCGATAGCCGGGGCATCGCGTGTCGGTACATGTGCAAGGGTGAAATGGGCGCGTCGCGCAACGCGTGAAGAGCACGAAGAATGCTCTCGCACAGACGAACGAGCTGGACGAGCTGGGTTTGTACCTGCCGGGCGTGGCCACACCTAGCCAGGACGCAGAGATGGCCATCAGAGACATCTCTTCTCCACCTCGACAGGCTCCCGGACTCGAGCAAAAGGGATAGATTGCATTGAGAAACGAAATAGAGAAATACGGCAAAAGGGCGACACTAATCGTGCGAGACGGAGAGCTGCACATCACGACGGCAAGGGAGATACACAATGTGTGCACCTTCGGTGCGAGGCGGGTGCACAAGGGAGAGTCGAACTCGGTGCCAAGCTTCAACACGGCCTTCCGTAGCTGGAATAGTGTCAGGGCCCTATATGGCACGTAGTTGCAGGCTCGCAATGTGAACATTTGCGGGGGAATGGGCGAGATACGCGAAGCCGCTCGCCCTCGGCGCGCGCGCGCGTGAGCCTCGCAAACTTCGCCGCGTAGCAACCATACAAGCTTCCGTATCTAGGTAGTTGTCAGAATCAAGTGGCGCGCATTATTGCGAGCCGGTACGTACCATACAAGTGAAAGTATGTGGGGAAACGAGCGACATACGCGCGGACACTCATATCAAGCCACCCCGCGCCGAGTGACCGGCCCGCGCCGAGTCCCTCGCCCGGCGGTAGGGCTGCCTCCGAGGCTAGTCTGATGTTAAGATCAGATATCTACACCTATTTCTAAGCAGGTACGAACCATAAATGACTCGCAGAGCTGGTGGAACGGGGGAAATACGCGAGATCGTCGCGCTAGGCAAGGTGCACGCCATGGGTGTCGGAAGATGCGCAGACTAATCCATCCGTGCTGTGTTCGTCCTCGGAGCTGGTTATCTTGGGGTTGCACAGCAGGGAGGTGTACTTGTCGGCATGGGTGGGACGGGCAGTGGCGTGGGCGAGGTCGCATGTACGGCGTGCTCAGCGTCTCGTGTAACCCGGGCCGAGGGCCGTACCCCACGTCGGGCAGTGGCTGCGTGCTGCCGCCGAATGGGGCGGACTGAGGGGGCGGTGGGCTGAGTGCATCATCGTGGACTATGTCCGAGACGCTGGCCACGCTCCGGGGCGGCGGGACAGCCAAACGGCCGTTCTCGGTTGCCGACGAGGAGGGTGCCGACTGTTTCTGCAGCGGAGCATGGTACTGCTTGGGCGTCGGCTCGGGAATGGTCGGAAATTCGTTCGGGAGCGAGGGGGAATCGCTCGGGTGTCTCGACGTGCTTGTAGGAGGAAAAGGTGGAAGAAGAGACACGACCGGTGCGTCTGGTCGCGCGGGCAGCCTCTGGCAGCGGGGACGGGCGCGAGCCGCGCCTCGTTGCCCAAGAGGGAAGCAGAAATAGGGGACCACAGTTCCGCGCCTCAAACGCGTTGGGCTCGTCGTCCTGGGGCATTATGGAGATGTCGAACACTCCTTCGAGGTGCTGGTAGTAGCGGGCAGAGCTGGAACATGCTCGTACCTCTATTTGCCCGTGTGAGAACAGCCACGTCATCGAGATCTTGGATCAATCAGGACGTACACGATTCATGCATTCTAGAAGTTGTGTCAGTGCACGACAAGGTGGACAACAGTTGCAGAAACATACGGTTTGTTCGGTAGGTATCCCCGACATGTGGAGAACTTCGAGCCCAGGGTGCTCCACAAGAAAGTAGTCGTGGCCGGCGAGACTGCCATGCGCTCGTTCCAACTCCTCGGCATGCTCAAGAATGTCGAAAGGAACCATCGCGACGATACTCTGCACGGCCTTTATATCGACCACAGCCAATGCAGCATCGCCTCGGTACTTGAACGAATGAAGAGTGTCTAATGACTCTTCGGCGAGTGCAGCATCGGCCAAGTCGTAGAGCGACACCATCGCGACTGTCTTGCGCGTCGATGTGGCATCATTGAGAGTGACATCGAAGTAGTACTGCACTTCGGCGACGCGAGGGACACCGTTGTGCACGAGCTGTCAAGCAGATGAGCGACGATTCAGTATGTGCAGCTGAAGGTGTGTGTTACCTTGACCATGCGCGCCATACGAACCTCCGACAAGGCCTTCTTCTTCTCTGTCCAAGCACTACGCGCCTCAGACTTGTCGGGCAACCGCAGACGAGCCCACTTCATCACACGCGGCTTCCAATCATCCCCACACTGACCACCAGATAAGCGGTAGTAGTTTCGGATCGCCACCGCTTCGGCTTCGCTCACTGCGCGCGCACATGTATCGCGCTTGCGCAAGAGTACGTATCCATCGTCTCGATATTCAGCGCCGCGTGGGATATCGGGCTTAACGGGCTCGATGTTCGGGATCATCGACTTCAGGTTGTTCACTTGTGCGCGAACAACAGCGCGCTTCGTGAGGTTGGCAAAGGGGTTACCCGGTTGCCTGAGCTCCCGCCCGAGGTCACCGATCATGCGCTCCATTGCCCATTGCGAGACAAGACAAAGCGGACCGCAAGCAGTGGTGAGAGGACCAAGATGGGGTAGCTGGTGCACACTATGGCGGCAGAAGTGAATGCGTGATCGCATGCCGCGGTAGTAGATGGCCTCGAACTCGCGCGCGAAGGTGACCAGGGACTTGTGGGCAGCCTTGAGCTTGTCGGCGGCGATCTTGTGCTGGTACAAGATTCGCACACCATACACCAGGCGGCAGAAGTTCAGCCAGTAGACAAGCGGAAGTCGTTTTCGAAGCAGTGCCACACAGAGACCAAAGATGAGAAGGAGAAATTCGGCCGCCTTGTAGCCGCTATTGATCTTCAGTGCAGGGTTGCGGGGCGCCCGCCCGAAACTTGTTGGAAAGTATGGAGTGGCAGCGGCCACTTCGGCACCGAACTTCTCCCAGATCTGCTTGTTGTGCAGGACCATCCAATCCCACAGGCTACGATGGTCACCATTCTCCGTGTCACACTCGAGCGTTCCGCGCCACAAGCCCAGCAGGAGGTCCGCGAGGTTCAGTGCAATGAGATGCATCAGGTCGGCGGTGAAGAGGGCTGGAACGCCAAGACTGCGTGGGACACCGAGGAAGATGCTGGGACGCGAGACGCCGACAGCAGCCCGCCGCTTTTTGTAGTCGGTCTCATTTGGAGAGTCACGGACATGCTGTAGCTTTTCTTGATAGCTACGATGCTATCAGACACAGAACGATGATCAAAGGAAAAGAAGCACTTACACCTTACTGCGTTCCTTCGGTGTCCCGGTCTTCAAGTTGCGGATATCATAGTCTTCGTGCATCGAATTCGGAATGGGCTCGGGGCAGTCTTTCGGCCGCATTGCAGCTGGGAAGTACATTGGGGCTCCGGCCTTGTGACGGCCGGGCATGCCACAGTAGAACCGACAACCGAAGCGCCCATGGTGACCGACCAGCCCGTTGAGCATGGCCATTGCAGGTGTATCCGCCGTGACATAAGCCAGGAAAGGGTGGTCGACGTATAGCGTGTTTGTAGCAGCATCCCATATGTGAAGACCTTCATTCTGGAGGGCGGCGAGGTGGTATAGACCAGGGTACAAGAAAGAGTCGAGATTTTTGGGCTTATTGGGCCCGGGAATGACGCATCCAGGTATGATGTGAACCTTTTTGTAGCGCACTTCGGGCGAGAGATCGAGGAGGATCCAGATCTGTATCCAACAGTCCGAAGCCTTGTTGCGATAAAGCTGGGCGCCATCGATAGAGAGCATGACGACACTGTCCGTCGGCTTGATCTCGCCACTCAGAAGGCGCTCGAGCAAGTCTGAGCCCACGTGAACATCGCCGTACTCCTTGACGCGCAGAACAGTGCGCCCATCCAGCCCCTTCTTGATCTCCTCGACCTCGAGCGCGCGATGCTGCATCAGCTTTGCAGTCTCAGGATGGCGGTGGCGAGCCTGCAGCTGTGGGCCCAGAGGAATGGTGGAAAACCGCAGACGCGGAACTTTCTGGCCCGTCTTCGCCAGCTCGATAGGATCCCAGCGTGATTGGCCACAGTACACGCAGTCATCAACAGTACGAGGCTCGTACTGGGGTCCAGTGAAAGCCATGCAGCTGTTGATGCACATATCGCGTTCGATAGGGCTGACGCCGCTAAGATGCTCGAGCTGCTTCTCGACTTGCTCGTGCGAAAGCATCTCAAACCCGGGCGGAAGGCCGCGCTCTCCATCGGCAGCTTGTATGTTCCTGTAGCCCTTCTGAGAGCCATTGCCATCTGCACTGGTGTTGAGGTATACGGACAGTGACCAGCGCAAGCCCCTCGTAATCTGCGGTGCTTCGGTAGTAGGGTTCCGCAAGAGGTAGACTGCATCGGGTGAAAGACCACAGCCCTCGAGCCCGGCGGCCTGTATCGCCTGAGCGAAGCGGAGCGTACTGTCGATCTCGGCAATTCCTGACCGGGTCTCGAGATCAACAGGAGTAGTAGAGTCCTCTTGAAGCTCTGGACGCAACATAGACTGTTGAGGTTGCGGCTGAGAACTAGGTCGCTCGCCGTCAGTGGGCTCGGGCTCGGGCTCGGGCTCGTCCTCATCCTCGTCCTCTTTATCGTCCAGACTACCCTCGTCAGGTGGCTCGTCGGTAAAGTCAGGCTCGGGCAGATCGTCGGGCGGCAGGTTGGAGTCTTCATCTGGGCGGGAGGAGTAGTCCGGGAGTTCGGGTTGTGGGGCAGCGCCGGTATCAAGAGGTGTAAGAGAGTCGCTCCGCGGCGTCGAGGTATGCGCCGGGGATGCAGTGCGCGACGGTGAGGGAGACGGTTGTGTAACTGGACCGTCTTCAACCTATATGTGTACGGTTCAATGAGGTTCCACTTTTCCAGAGCTCGAGTGCGCACCTGTATAGGCTCTATATTGGTGTCCTGTATCTGGCTGCATGAACCCAACCTCTCCTCATTGGTATCGGCCACAGACTGTCGTAGAGACGGCTGATCTAAGAGCCTGCGACGCTTGACCGAGCTCGACGCAGTGGGTTGTTGCCCGGTTCGTGCAGCCTCGTCTGCCTCGATCTCAAGACCGGCATGTATCCTCGCTCTACCGGCCGAAATGTCTTTGCCGGGGTGGCAGTAGCGCTCGCACTGGCACCACACCATACGATATGCCACAGAGGGGATGCCGAGACCTTGAGCGGGCGGCGAACGCAGGTGCAAAGGTGTCCGATGCGGATCTAGACAAGCTCACACAAAGGGCATGTCGTCCTTCACAAAAAATCAAGATTGCATTGCTACGGTAATGGAGAGAAGGTAATATGACGACTAGATAACGACTTTCGGGAGCCGGATGCAAGTCGCGGCGTGGTGGTGGTCGGAGCTCGAGTGCGCGCGTCGTCGTTCGTAGACGCGCGTCGCTCACCCTAGTTGGCCCCGTTCAGCGTAGGTCCGCAAATCCGGGATTCTCACTGGGGATCACACGTCATTCATTGCTACGGCTTGACCATGTGCCAGCAGTATCAGCGCCCCTGCTTAACGTGAACTTGGGCCGGTACCTGCGCAGCGCGCCTCGAACCATCCAAAACCGGCATGAGGGCCACTTGCAGTGCGGTTGACCACAACGCGCGCATCTTGTCTCTTCCCACCACCACGGTCTACGACCTCCGATGGCAGACCTCGACATGGAAGAGCCTTCCCCACAAACACCCAGAATAGCTCCAGCGCCGTTCTCAGACGCAGACTCCGACATCGTCCTCCGCTCCAGCGATAATGTTGATTTCCGCATGCACAAGCCTATCCTCATCCGCGCTTTTCACGGATTCGATGATCTCCTCTCTGGTCTGACACGGGGGGCATCTCCCAGGGCTGTTCGACCAACGCTGTCTGGTCGTCCTTTGGGCGTCCTTAGCAAAACGGTCCGAAGCCGCATGGCTGCCACGCTGCACGTGCAGGCCACATGTCGGGTGCCCTGAGCTCGAAGTGGTCTCCAGACCTGTAGTACAAGTAATTGAGCCTATAGTACACCGATTTCAGTACTTTCATGAAGGTATGTATTAGATCAATGTCTTACGAGGTTATGTAGTGGTCAATCTATGAGCAAAACATACGGAATACAGGGCTGACCCCAGCCCGTACTCGGTCGGCCAGGGTTCCTCGACCGACAAGCAGTGAATGCACTGCTAAATCACTCATGATTGGTTTGTAGAGCTATGCTTCACACTGATTGGTACCAGTACGCACTCACGAATTAGCACTTATACCCGTGTTGTTAGCAATATAATATTTTTGGAGTTTCTTGCCGCAATAAATGCATCGCGTGGCGTCCATGTGCAGCGGCCAGCCACGTGCCGCGAGAAGCTCCGCTAAGGACACCCAAAGGGCGTTCCAAACAGCGTTGTTCAGACAGCCCTGGGACATGCCTCCCGTGTGAGTACAGCGGCCGCGTATCAGACCAGCACAGCCGATGCAATGGGCTCCTTGGATGGAGATGGTCGACCAATCTTGGTCTTGACTGAGCCCGCGGACGTGCTCGACGCGCTCTTTCGGATTTTCTATTATGTCGACAGTCCGGCATTATCCGACTTGGCTATGCTGCGCTCGGTCTGTCTCTGTCTCGACAGATACTGCGTCAAGACTGTCCCTCCTTTTATCCGCGAGCTCCTCGTAAAAGCCGTGAATGTCCCCCGAAACTCGCGAGGCACGGTGCCCGGAACCGTGTACGCCTTGGCGTGCAGACTCCACCTGGACGACATAGCTCTCATTGCCGCCCGTGCGTCGCTCTACAACCCGGATATCCTCCGAATACTACCTATAGAAGACGTGCAGCTCATGTCGTCCCTTCAATACCACACTCTGAATGTGTATTCCGACGAATGTCGCGACGCTGCCGCATCTATAGCCAATGCGCTACCACTCGCGATAGATTCAACTGAACTTCCAACGGCCTGTACAACTCATTCAACTCGACAACTGCTAGAGTACGTCCAACATAACGTCAACGTCGATCAACATGCTCAACCCGCCCGTCCGGAAACATGTCAGTGTTCGCCGTGTTATACCGTGGCAAAGACGCGGAAAGAACTGGAAGAATATGCCGAACTTCTACCCTACGAACGGGTTATCATACCGATGTGGTTCAGCGACTATCTCGAGGCCTGCTCGGAAGAGTTATATGCACGCCCCCTCGCTGACGTCGTGATAAGCCCATCGTTTTACCTGCGGTTCCTAAAGGAGGCCATTGCGTGCCCTCACTGCTCAGACCACATCGATACCTTCCTGACGTGGTTCCACCCTCATCTGAAGAAGAGAATCGACGAGGAGTTGGATCAGGTATGTCTGCTCGATTGATCTCACGGAAGCCCAGGGAGCTCAATAAACACTCAATGCAGATTAAGCTCAATATTGTCTCATAACATAGCTGCATCTCGGCGTTTTCGCTTCTGCAATTCATGTACATGTACCGGTGTCCTGGTCGGCCCAATTAAAAATCGCTTATAACGTGCAAGCTCGTGGAGATACGAATGGAAGTGAGCCCTGTGACCTCAGGTACGGCTCCAACGCTTTCATTTCTGTACCCCTGGTTTCCAACAACAGCGAGTGGTGGGTCCGGATAGGCGCTCGATAAGCCGGGCGCCTTCGGCACAGCTGCTCGCTCCACGAGCGGGCGTAAAGACCCCTCAACAGTGGACCTCGCGTGTTGGGCTCCGTCCCTCGCCCTCAACACGACTACATGAACACTCTCAATGCTCTCCCATCTCTGCCGTCTCGCTGAGGCTTCGCATCATACTACATCGCAAGAGACGATGTCCAACGAGTTTCGCTCAAGCGAGTGTATCGAACCGGCTGAGAGAGGTCCGCGTGAGGCCGGTCCTCCATTCAGCGATGAAGACGCCGATCTTATCCTCCGCTCCTGCGACGGCGTCGACTTCAGGGTGCACAAACTGTTCCTGATTAAGGCTTTCCACACTTTCGACGATATGCTGGTATGTTGGTTCTTCAATGACACCAGAAGTCGAACTCACTTTATTCAAGCGTGGTACCGATGAAGCACATAGCCTGCATGCGCCAGACCAGGAGTTCAAAGACGGGTTGGCCGTCGTGACCATGACAGAGTCTCATCGCATCCTAGACCGTCTCCTCCGCCTGCTATACGTCGTGGGAAAGCCCGACCTCGATAGCTTGAGTGACCTGCGCGCGGTTTGCATCGCGCTCGACAAGTACTGCGTGCGCAGCTTTCCGGCGCTTGTTGCAGACGCACTTTCCCGCGCGACGCAAGAGCACCCTGAGATCGTATTCGCCATCGCCTGCCGCTGTTGTCTGGCGGACATCGCACATAGGGCCGCGACCGTCACATTACGTCTGCCGCGGCAGCTCATCCCAGTGCCATACGAGGACGTAGAGTTTGTCCGCGTTGGACACTATCACGCGCTTGTGATCTATCAGGCCGAATGCCTAGCAGCTGCGCGTACGGCGACGGCTACCATCATATCCGGCATTGGAAAAAACAGCATCCCTGGAGCGTCGAATGTCGGTACTGCTCCACCGCGCTCATGCCGCTGTCGCCGCCTACAGCGCCCTATGCGTCAAAGTGCTGTCATGCTGCCTACCTGGCTCGTGGATTACCTCGCCGAAGTGTCGAACCACCTGAAGGAGGAGATCGCTGGGACAGTGGCCACAAAGCCGCGCTTGCACATCTCGACGCTCGAGTCGGCCAGTATCTGCGATTACTGCACCAATACGAAACAGAAGTTCGTGTCGTTCACTGAGGCGTTGTCGAGGCATATAGACTATGAAGTGTCGAAGGTACGCAGGCGAGAGCCCTGCCGGAAACACTCCTGACGCGCCTTATAGGTTCGAATGCGTCTTGGTGGACTTGATTGAGGGGCACTGCAATTCATGACCTTTTCTATGGGCTTCAGACTTTCATGTGTCGCACTGTACGACCACTACGAGATGAGATAATGGTTTCTCAAGAGAGACAGTCAGAGAGCAATGAGGAATCTTGACAAGATACAACGTTGATCAAGGGTTATAATATGATACTCTTGCCACCATCTACTAAGAAGGGAGCGAATCTCTACGCCTCCTCGATTCTGCGGCGTCGCGAGATGATGGCTGTGGCTCCCGGTGCTCTTCCCCATCGGGTAACATCCACTGACTGTTGAACCTCGTAAAGCTCTTGTGTTCCCAATCCCATTCCTGGTCGTGGGACGGTATGCTCTCCACGTCGGTCGCGCTGGGAGACGGCGGGGCAACCTCGGGTGAATCCGATGAGCGGGGAATATCTTCCGGTCGGATTCGGGGAACCGGCCTTGGTCGTCGGGATGGCGGAGGGCGCGGAGCTTTTGGAGGTGGTGGCGACGGTGGTTGCTGGACAGGGATATGCATTGTCTCGGTGGCCGGTTGAGGCTTCGAAGGCTGAGCCGATGTCGAAACCTGCTCGCGCCTCTTCCCTAGCGCTTTCGCCGACGGCTGCGACTCCGACTGATCCAACTGCTCCGGGGCGAACGGCGCATCACCATATGCATTCACACGATCCGACTCCTGGCGCATGCGAGCCAGTTCTTTTTCCAGGCGAGCGATATCGGCTTGCATCGTGAGCTGCACACCCATGATGACCGCGGCTCTTTGTACGCTGTCCACGCCTTGCTGGAGGTGAACCTGCGCTATGGCGGCCGCGTCGGCGTTGGACGGGGCGTTGCGGATACGGGAGAGTTCAATACCCCAGTCGAAGTTCGTGGGCGCGGGTGCAGGTGCGGGTGCAGGTGCGGGTGCTGGCGCGGGCGCTGGTACGGGCGCGGGCGCAGAAGTAGGAAGACAGGCAGGCGCCGGTGCTTGAACTTCTGCTACAGGCTGATGGCGTTGCTGCGCGCCTACTGGTGGCGCATGCGCAGGCCCAGGCGATTCTCTCAGGGTGCTGGAACTCGCTGGAGCTGAAGACGCAGATTGGGCGGCTGAAGGCGACGAGAGCGCCGCATCATGCGACACTTTCTGCCGTTTAGCTGGTCGCTCCGGGGGTTCGAGCGGAGAGGGTGCAATGTCGCTCATGTCGACATCGTCTATGGTCGGATCCAGTCCTGCTGTGGATGGGTAGCACATCAGTTTCAGTAGACATGGACACTGTGATGAGGTGAATACGTACCGGCGTTCTGACCCGGTCCTACGTTACGGATTTTGCCCTTACTGGGTGACTGTCGGTTTTCGGGCTCGGGCTCGGGGTCAGACTCAGAGACAACGACGCCGTCGGTGTTGCGGCCGGGACCAGGCCTACGCTTTAATGGCGAAGCCGATAGATTGGGGCGTGCTCGACTCAAACCGGCAGCTGGAGCGGATGCAGAGGCCGGTAGATGAGTAGATGTCGAGGCGCTCGATCGCGGACGACCGGAACTTGAACTCGAACCTGCGCCTGGTGCACGTCTCGACGCGGGTATAGGTAGCACGTCTTCTTCGTCCTCCGACGCGGTAGGGCGTGCACGTTTGCGTATACGTGGCGACTGCGTCTTGGGAGTTCGCCATTGAAAGTTAGCGTCCAGGACGAATCTGGCGGCGCGTGCTGGATCCCCGGCGGCAGCCACCCACGCCGCTTCGACCTTCCCCGTTTCAAATACGATATTCTGTATGCGGAACTTGTTGAACTCCATCTCCTCTTTCGCCTCGCGATTGCCTTTCGCGTGCGGGTTTCCAGCCAAGGATTTGGTAGGACTGTGGCCGCTGTCAATATCTCGGCGCCTATCGATCGCCCTTGACGGTGTGGACGCGTTGTTTGATGACGACGCGTCTGATGCGCGCACCGCCCTCCACCCTCCACCAGCGAACTGTGCGTCGTTCAAAAGCCTAGCCGCGACAACACTATTCCCCCTCGCCGCTACCCAAGCCGCCTCGACAATCTCTACTGCGATGAGGATGTGCGCGACACGCAATATCCGGAAACGGGCTTCTTCCTCCTCTGAGCGCTTGCCCTTTGCGTGCACATCAACAGGGACAGGTTTTGGCCGAGAAGACGATGGTTTAGTCTGTTTGAGGGAATCTGCGGTCGGCGCCGGCGATGGTGTACTGGTAGACGAAGAGCTCGTCCTCTGGTAGAACGTGCTGGGGTGCGAGAGTCTCAGAGACGGTCTTTTGCTCTGGGCAGGCGCAGGCGCGAACGCAGATGCCGCTGTAGCAGAGGCAGGCCGAGAATCGGTAGTTTGGCCGGTCGTAGGTGTAGCTGCCGGAGTTGAAGAAGGCGAGGTGGCTTGACTCTGACTGAGGGGGGTGAAACGTAGCTTCGTAGTCGTTTTTGCTGGCGAGGGGCGTCGCGGTTGGCTGGGGGAAGTGGCAGGTCCGGATTTGGTGGGGGATGAGCGCCCAGGCTGACTGCCGGACGGTTGTGCGTGTGAACGGAAGCGGTCGGATGCCAGGGAAGACATGATTCTCGTGTTGTCAAGTGTAGGTGCGCGGCCGGATGCCAGGGAAGGTGTGGTTCTCGTGTTATCAAGGGTAGGTGCGCGGCTGGAAGCAGAGGCGCGAGCTGTCGGCGAGAGGGTCGCGTGAGAGCGAACAGGAGATGTCGAGGTGGCAGGAGGCGGTGGGTTGCACGTCCGGCACTTCCATTTATTGTTGGGGATATGAGTGAGGAGAGGATTCAGACATGTCGTGTGCCATGCGCGGTCGCAGTGGTGGCAGTGAAAGTAGTGTTCCTTGAAGCGATATACGTATATGAGTATACAGACGCCAGGTCGCCATTACATAAAAGCGGGGCATACCTCGTCGACGTCCTTCTTACAGACTTCGCATTTGCTGCATCGGTCGCACCTCCAGTCATAACCTCTGATTGTATCGGCAATATGCCCCAACTTTACGCACACGGGATGAACTGGCGAATGTTGGGCTCGTCAGAAATACAAGGGTATTGAATAGATTAAATGCGTACAATGGCATTTACATCCAGCACATCTGATCATACCCTCCGGATCCTCAGGTTCGCCTTTCCAGTTCGTGTCGTCCCTTCGACAAGCAAAGCATTTCCGTGGCATTTTGTACCAGTTAGGCGGGGCCTCCCAACCAGATGGACCCGGAGGTGGCGTGTACATGAGACAGAAGTTGGGTGTCTCTGTAATCTCCGAGAAAGAGTCACGACATGCAAGCGGGTATGTGGATGTTGATTACAACAGGCTCAGCAGAAGCTAAGGACGTCGCCGTCGGAGGCAACCAGTGAAGCGGGACCCCGAGCCTGAGAGCGCCTTGTAACCTTCTATGAACTCGACATCACCATTCGCTCTGATGCCAGGCTGGCGTCGACGTCGACGTAGCGAAGCAGGTATGGATACGTGCTCAACATTCTGAGATCATCTATGTTATCGTAATGAGGGTAGGACTGGCTGGAGACTTGCAGGCGACGAGGCGCGAGCTCGCGTATCCGGTTACCGGACCATCGCTCTTTCCTGGACCACCACCACTTCCCCAGGCGCCTTGCTCCGAAATGCAGCGTTGGCACACAATAACCCTTTCTTGCTACCATGTTCCGTATGTGAATGCTAATGATGCAATACCCGGACTTAAGACGCTGTGCGGCCACATAAACCAGCGGCTCTATCCTTCACCTGCCGCAGAACCGCATCATGTACCTTTGCAAGGATACTGAACGCAAGCCTGCGCTTTTTTGCGTAATATATACGCAGACGTGCTCATGCTGGGTGCGCGTGATAGACCGGGCGAATATCCTGGCGTATCGGAATATAGAATGCTCCCTTCACCCTTCACGCACCCTAGTCGAACCCGCTTCTTCCCCCTACTCATAAGTTAGCAGTTTCGTTCAGACCCTCCACGTCATGCAGCAGGAAAGAGACGTTCTTCGCCGTGGTAAACTGGCAGTGAGAGCACGAGCGGCTTCCCGCGCTAGACGCTCAGCCGCAGCGACCCGGGCTCTCGATCGTAACCCCTCTGCCCTTGTCTTTGCCTCTAGCCGCCATCGGACATATCATACAGTATATTCGTGCATTGTCATGTCAGACGCCGAGATACGTGAAGCGGGGGCTCCATTCGATGCTCCAGATGCAGACATCATCCTGCGATCGGCCGATGGAGTGCATTTCAAGTTCCACAAGCAGTATCTGACACGAGCGTTGTACGGCTTCGAACACATCCTGGTAAGTTGATCCACCTACGGTCGAATACAAAGCCATACTCATGACTATCTAGGGTACAGGAGAGCTTAATGGCATAGGTGCCGCAGAGGAGAGACAAAACGGCCTAACCGTGATACCACTTCCCGAGTCGACTCCCGTCCTCGACCTCTTTCTTCGCGTGCTCTTCCCCGTCGAACTCGGATGTCCCGTTATAGGCGACCATCTCGGTCACATGCCCGGCGTCTGCAAGGCGCTTAGCAAATATTGCGTGAGAAACATGCCAGCCGGCGTACGCGATGGCCTGTTGCTCGCTTCCGTCCAGAAGCCGGAGCTCGTCTACGCCATTACATGTCCATACGACTCGCTCTCAAACGTTACCAAGGTCGCTGCGAAACATACGCTGCGGGACGCGCGTCGCCTGGATGACCTCCCTGCTGAGGTCGTTGCCGAGATCAGCGGACTCCAGTACCATGCCTTGACCCAATATCAGATCGCCTGTCGCACGGCTGCCATAGCGGCATGCGACTTTCGCAAAATACGCTGCTTTGCGAACGAGACCCCCGGTCTCTCTCCCACTGAGGACGATCCGCCTAAGCAATGCAACTGCTACACCTACCACCACACCGTGGTTCTCCGCCGTTTCTATGGTCCACCCGACGATTCAGACTTCAACGAAGAGACCTGTGAATTACCTGGCTGGCTTGTCGAATACTGTAACGATGTAGCGGGGGAGATACGAACGGGAAGGAAGATATGCGGGAACGTAGCTTTGAACGATAAGCCGCTCGCTACTGCGATCCGTGCTTGCAAGTCCTGTCCTGCGTGTGGCACTGACGTGGGCACATTCTTTCGATTCGCCCACTTTCTTGCCGAGTGGATCGATCAAGACATCTCAGAAGTGCGTGGTTGTATGGTCTATATTACCTACGGCAATGGATTCTGACCTAGAAAGTAGGTTGAACTTGAATCCAATACACTTGCGAGTTGATTTGACAGGAAAAGGGATATGGTACAGTACTCGTACATGCGCGCTCGACGCGAATTGACCCGTCGCCACTGTTTTAGTTTCGGTGTCGTCTGCTCGGTCTTCACGATGTACTATGGGCGCCACATCACTGTATATACTG